AAAGCTGGTATCCGTCACCCTCGAAAACAAAGACTGCATCGTCGCCAGGAGGAAGACAGTGTTTCGTCTGATGTCACGCGTGGAACCCGTGTCAAGGACGAGATGGGGGTCGCGATGGAGAAGTGACGCTGCGGTGGTCCAAAAGTTTTGGGTCTCGATACTTTGAGGTGAGCGTTTGGACAGAGTGGGATCGAATGGAGCGTTGTAGCGTTGCAGCAGCCAGGACAGCCATGGACCGAGGGGCCGGAGAAGTGGGCAGGGCTGGGTGGTGGTGACCACTGACGATTGACCAACAGGTTTGGCGGCAGCACCGCCTGGCGCACCGCCTCAAGCCCCGAGACTGGAGGTCGGGGTTGGGCTGACTGGTAATGAGGCGGCGATGGCTTGGTGGCTTGGTGGCTTGATGGCTGATGTCGAATTGGGAATGTTTAGGGTCTGACGGCATACAGCTGGAGATGGGCGGGTGAAGTGGTTCGTCGGTGAAGGCCGAGGGAATACCAATTGCTTGAATCTAATCGAAGGAAGCGCGGGAGACGCATTGATGGAGAGGTCGGTTCCCGAGATTCGGCTTGGTCCGTTTGCTGGACACGACAGGGCTCTTCCCTCCGCATTGTTTCGCCCGTTCGTGTTTCCCGTCGCGTATGTTCCCGGCTGCAATACTCTTAAGATCAATATTCGAGGGGTTGTTCATTCGACGAACACCAGTTGGACAGGTGCCATCTTCTGTAAACTCAAAAAGTTGCATTGATTGCTTCCCCTGCCATCCGGAGAGCCTCATCCAGTGTGGACGTCGTTGTGTGTCAACGGGCATAGCCTCTTGGGCGTCCGTCTCTTCCGTGGCGGTTCGGTCCCTTCGGGCGCAGGACCAGCCATCAGGGACGGGCGGTGTCTCTCGGTCTGATATCATCGAGGAGCTGTATCCGCGGGGTCCTTTGCAGAGGACGCGACGACTCGCATCGTCGCAGCAGAGGGGGCGGCTGATTGGCTCAGGGTCTGGCTGTTCCCGCCGCCGGCGCCCACTAAGGAGCATACACGAACCCGGGGTGGGACGTTAGTGTTTCCGTCGAGGTCGTGTTTTTGGAGGCCCAGGGTTGTCGGCGGAGGGACGGCCTTTGCACAGCATTGGGTAAGGTAGGTAAGTCTGCTGTCTTGTTGGTGGTGGGTGATGATGATTGCGGTTTTGGGGAGTGGTCTGCGAAATGAAATGAATGCACTGCGTGCACCGAGCATTGCATTGCATCCGGAGCTGCAGATGCTCGAAAGGAGAACGAGATGGCACCTCAGGCACGAGAGACAGAACCGAAGAAAAAAAAAAAAAAAAAAGGAAAAGGCTTGGCTGGAACTGCAAAATGGGGGAATGAACGACCGGTGGTGCTGACGGGACCTGGACCTGACCTCCTCCTGTCTGCCCGGGCTGACGGTCAACCTGTGACCGTGACTTGACGCTGCTGCCTCCACGTCCCTCCTTCCCATAATCCATAATCTGGAATCCATCTCCATATCCATTTGCATCCAATACGTTATTCATATCCATCCACCCTTACCTATCCTTCTCTCCCTCTCTTTCTCTCTCTCTTTCCCCCATTCAAACCCCTCTCCTCCACCCTCAGCTCCTGCTAATAATAAGGCGAGGTCGGTCCCTAAATACCCAAAAGGCATCTCTTACCCCTCCTGGCTGAACACACCCACTGGCACCCTCTCCAATCCCCATCCCGTGTCCCACCTGGTATCCTCGTACACTAACGCACCTGGTCCTGGTCCTGAACCTGGACCTGGACCTGGCCTTTGGGTTGCCCCCCGGGACCTTGCCTGCAAACTGGGACCTGCACCTCTGTCCTGCACCTGTTGTTCCATTCCTTCCTGACCTTACCTTGCCTCACCTCGCTCACCTCATCCGCACCTCTCTCACACACACTCACACACACCTACCAGCCAGCAGTCTGCGCTTCCCGCCGCTGCTTCCCTCCTTCCTGTCTCGTACTGTTCCTCCAACCCACCGGAAGAAAACCCTTCTCGCAACCGACTTCGATTACATTTCGCGCGTCGCGAATTCCTCCATATTCCGCTTCTACATCTGCTGTTGTCAATCGTCGGTTCTCAATGTCCCAGCTCTGACGCTTATTTTTTGCCCTGCGCAGCTGGGACGCCCCGCCGTAATTCGCCTTACGCCTTACCTTAGTCACCTCCGCCCTCTTAACCGCCGCCTCTTCCGCTCTGCGCCCTCCATCCTTTGTCACTCGTTTCTTTACCAACATGTATCTCAATATGCGAATACCTCTGCAGTTGCTGAGAGCTGCCCGAGAGCACTCGTCCAGGGCCTTGCGTCGCCGTGACGGCGATAGCGATCCCAGGAAAGTCACCATCATTGTAAGTACACTATCATGCCATGGCCCCGAGCCGCTCGCGCCAGTCAACAACACCACTAACACCTATCGCCAATACAGGCAATCCTCGCCGCCCTGGTTCTCATTATCTTCGTCGCCTTTGTAATATTCTCCTTCCGCGCCTCTCGACGCAATCGCAAGCCCTCGAAAAACTCCTCCCGTGGAGGCTTTCTCAAAATATGGAACACGGGCGCTGGCCGGAGCAGGTACCAACAAGCTCAGGATGAAGAATCAAACTCCACCGAACAGCTAGCCACCCGTAGCTCCCGTACTCGACCGACTTCCCTGCGCTTCGATGCCTCCGCCAACCAGTCTCAGGCCGACAGCCGCTCCCCCAACAGCGCCGTAAACCGCAACACTTCTATTCGCTCAGTCATGACCCTGCCAGCATACAGGGTCGATGCCAATGATAACGAACAGGTTTTAGGTCGTGAGGGCGAGCGTGGCGGTGTGGATGTTGTCATTGAGTACCCGACGGAAGAGAATGAGGAGGAACTGCGTGACCAAGAGATGGAAGCACTGTACCAGATTCGCCTGGCTCGACGACAAGAACTTGCCGAACGCGAGGAGAGGAGGAGAGAGCGTCGCGAAGCGCGAGACCGTGGCGACCACGTTGCCCTGGAGAACATCCGCACACAAGCCCGTAACGCCAGCAACAACAGTGTCGTTGGCGTCCTCCGCGAAGAGCATGAACGTATCAAGGCCGAACGCCAAAGAAATGTCTCCAGCGTATCTTACGCCGATCTTGGCGTGGCACGTCACGATGGCACCCGAATTCGAGCCAACAGCCAGGAAAGCGAGAGGATGGGCTTATTATCGGACGCTGCTAGTATTGCCGCCACATCAACCAGGTCCGTTGCCGAGTCGGGCCACAGAAGAGGCAGCTCCGTCATGAGTATCGACAGTGACCTCCCCTCTCCTGGCCTGCCGAGATCCCGGGCAAACTCGCGACCAGATACGCCCCGTCTAGACACAAGAGCCGGTTCGAGCCCTGAGATTATCGAGGCCGATGTTGGAGAGGCCGGCATCCCCATCTACTCTCCTCCGGGATACGACGAAGTTTCCCTCGACGATGAACACTCCAGAAGCAACACTCCTCAGCCTAACGTCGAACCCCCTCCGACCTATCCCGGACCCTCTCAACAACGCGCAGACAATCTTGCCTCAAATATGGCCGACTTGGCCGCGGAGGAGCATACGACTGACCAATCTGGGCAGCAAAGCCAACAGAGCCAGCAGAGGAAGATACCGCAGTTACCAAGCCTTCGGCTACAGCAATTACCACAGATCGTGATTGAGCCATCCAGCGCCAGACCTCGTGATGACGAGAGGTGACGGCTGAGCCTGGATAGGAGAGAAGGAAGAAAACCGGATGAATGACGGCTGGATTTAATGAGCCCCCGTGCAAAGGAAGAAAATTTGGTGGCGATCTTTTTTGATACATATGGCCTGAATCGGCAAATCACATACACACTGAGCGAGTGCTGTCAGGACGAGGCAAGCTCTCCAAACTCATTGTATAGTACCTTACCAGTAAACTGGATATCGGCGTTGGGCGAATCTCGGCCTGGACAGGGAGTTATAAAGGATACCAGAGCGTGTTCAGGAGGTTTTGCACCTCTGCGGCCTGCGCGCCCGAGGTACCATCATATTTCGAAGCAATCATTTCAAGCTTTCACTCTGAAAATGACTTTCTGTGCTCATTGGTTATAATGCTCTCGATGTTATTATCTGCCGAGTGCTCCTCGAGTGCACGGAAGGTATGCTTTATGATCTGCATTGTATGCGAGTAACCCTTGCTCTTATGACATGGCCAAGTTGCTGGGGCCAAGTCGAAGGTCAATTCCTGATGCTTGGCCTAGTCTTGATTTTGGGTCCTGACCCGTTTGCACTTGCCAAGCATCTTGGCCCAATGCTTGACTCTGCCTCCGGTTTTTCACCGGGTCAAAGACGAGCGATCGTAAGAGACTGTAGAAGAACTTGCGGAAAACCCATGCGCAGTATTTGTCTCAGCGGGAACGATCAGAACCAAGTGTAGCCAAGACACTCAAGGGCCTCGGATGTGCTCAGTATTTGTGCTTGTCAAGCTCACAAAGCGTTATTTCTCTTACTCTTCAACGATATACGCTCACCCTGGGTGAAGGCTCTGCTGCACGTAACCTTTAGGTAACTGGGAATGAGTTATTGAGTTTGTGCAAGCAGCCCAATTGGAGGCAGTCAGACGACAGTCGGGGAAAGTAGGGAATCATCAACGGGTGCTTGGAGACTCTCCAAACCCCTCCTTATCTTACCGTCACTTTTAGCAGCTCGTCTCAAACGAATCATTCTTTCTGTCCAGTACAGTAAGGCCCAACGCGGACTGCTTTTGTTTGGCGGTATTCATCGTCACCTGAGGTCGTTTTTATCAACACATCTCGGCCTCTGCATCAATCTTATAATCGATGAAAAAGCATCAGAAACGGAGGCCGACTGATCAAAAGCCCTTGACGATGAGCATAAGCAAAGCTGGAACGGGATTTACTATCCGGAGCGAATATGCAACATTTGCGCCCGTCATACATGTACTGCTCTGTGACGAGATGACAGTATCCGAAGTTATTCACATAACGCGTTGGTGGGCGTTTGGCGCAGTGGTAGCGCGTCCGCTTTGCATACTCGCATCTGCGGAAGGTCTAGGGTTCAATCCCCTAAACGTCCATTGTCTTTTGCTGATTCTCACGACTGATGCTTTTTTGCTTTGATAGTCTTCGTTCACACGCACTTTTCTACTTCTAGCGTCTTTCAAAACAGCTTACAATACAGATTGCGATGGTGGAAAACAATGAAAAGATGGCTTGGTTCGCTAGGCAAAAAGACTTCGGCCAGCCTGTATGTAAAAGTATCTCAATGAATTCATCCATGCTTTGCGGGCTCTGGCCGTAAAGTAAACACCTCCCGTCCCAAAACGCCGATAACCTAAAAACAGCCCGTTCCCCAAAACTCCAATTTTCATCCCAAGATATCATCAAATCCAGTGGTCGTCCAATGCACGGTTCTTGTCGAGATACTCATACACCTGCCTGGGGTCCTTGCACACGTGCTTCGCGTCCCAACCGTCGCTGCCCGTGAACCCGGGGGGAAAGGTCGTCTGGGTGCCCTCGAGCGCGACGTCGCCCGAACACAGGATGGCCTGGCGCAGGTACTCGAAGCAGTGCTGGAGGTGCCAGGGCCCGTCGGCGCCCTCGGTGCCCTCGGGGATGTGGGAGTGCATGTCGACGGCGGCGGAGCCGTTGACGGAGAGGCCGGCGTAGCTCTCGAGGATGGCGTAGAGGCAGTGCAGCTGGTGCGTCATGGAGGTGGTGAAGACGGTGCGCGGGGCGAACTCGGGCAGCGGCACGGGGAGGTTGCTGTGGGCGCGCGGGTTCTTGACCTCGAGGTAGCCGAGGCCGCGGGGCACCATCTTGAGCCAGTTCTCCTGGAGGGAGGCGTTGGTGAAGAGCGATTTTGGGTCGTCAGGGACGAAGTCTGTTGTCGGGTGGAAGGTTGTTATTTGCTGGGTAACTAGAGGTTTCTTGTGTTAGCCGGGAGGAGATTCGACTGGGATGGGAATGTACGAACAGTCTGGCGCAAAGCCTGTCAGGTCGCCGACGGGCTCGAGACGCTTGTCGCGGGCGGGCGACCGATGCCTCTCGACGAGGAGGCCGATGACGACGAGAATCAGAGCCGTGTCCAATACCCAGCGCCAGCGCCTGAAGGCCTCGCATTTCTTGGCGCACCGGCTTCGTCGTGTTGCGCAACCGCCGCCGTCTTCGATGTCTGCTTGCTTCCACGGCTTGTCGTCTTCGCTGAGCAGCGACACGCTGATGTCGGTCATGGAGTCATTGTGAGGCGAGACACCGCGACGGGTGTCTGAGTAGCCGTGATTCATGTTGTCGGTTGTCGTCGTCTTATAGAGGGAGCTCTTGATGAGTGAGGACTGACGACGATGGTTATGTATGTCTTCTTCGAAGAACAAGATACAGCTTGACTATCGAACGCTTCAAACTAACAATTCGATCATTGAAGGATAGAAAACCCAAGGCCCAGACTCCTGGGCGGCCAGCCAAGGACGCGACATCATGTCCCTATTATTCGGCCAACGTGAAACACCCTCTGGGCTGATGTCCCTCCCAACGGCGGTGCGTGGCGTCGCTGGCCGGTCGATGATCTGAAGGAGATCCGACACTTTGTGTCTGAGAACGGCGGAGCGGCGGGAAACGGTGACCCGTGCGTCTGTACCCTGGGCGAAAGGACTTGAGGGTGACCTATTCTCATGTGGCCGTGGACTTTTTTCTCTGAATAATACTTGCGATGGTAGAAATCCGAAATTCGGTCGCAATGATTGGGATGGATTGAGTGAGGTCGGTGGTGAATGAGATACTTTGCCCATGCGCCCACAAGATTTGCGCCAACATTCGCACTTGCAGGCTGCCAAAGCCAAGCTCAAAGCCTAACGAGTTAAGCATAATCCCCACTGGGCAGCTAGCTTCCTTTCTGTGAAGAATCAACGTGGCTTACAATTGAATGATCCTATTCATTATTCGCGACTCATCAATCCACAACAAACTGCGTCTTAGCATCAAAGATAAAAAAGTAAGTATGTCTGAGACTATTCCGATGACGATAAAAAGACAAAAATGACAACTGTGAGATTCGAACTCACGCATCTTTCGATACCAGAATACTGTCCTTTGCAAGGACAAGCTCGTCGCTTGAGTCTGGCGCCTTAGACCGCTCGGCCAAGTTGCCCGATGATTTCCGGGGCAACTTCATTACCCGAGTACCCTTACACGCAGGTGTGGCGACCTCGCCCAGTCGCAAGTAAGCTTCATCCGAATGTGAAGCACAGCTTCACTATCCAGTTGCTGGGCCGGGTGGTTTTTTTTTTTTTTGACTTCGGCGTTCTGCAGGTGACTTCACATCATCTGAGATATTTTCCTAAGTACAGCAAGCTTTCGCTCACCTATCCCGTCGGCGCTGGAGCACCAGCAGAGCACCGCTCAACCTCTGGCCCAAGGTTTGCGCGCCAGCTCTGGCTGACTTCATCATCGTATGAGCTTCACTGCCCTCACATCACCTCCTTCCAACAAGGCCGAATGTCTCGGATGCAAATGGCCTCCGGCATGGGCCCGTCCGCACCGGCCTCGGCGGCCGCGTACCGCCGAGAATGTCCTCCCCCGTGGGCCCTCCGTTATCGTCGTCGTCGTCAAAATGTGGAAATCATTCGAGTTCCCAAGGGTCCAGTCGTCAGTGCACCGGGAAGCCTAAGCTAGACTCGGCCTAGCCGGTGGGAATACAGCGGAGACCAGCAGAGGACGGGAGTTGACGTCGGCAATCTTTCGAGCCTGCTTCTGATTCTTTTGTTGCTTTCACCCTGCCAACATGTTTGGCCTCGCCCAGGGACGCGGTGGTTGCTGGAACAAGACCAGTCGCGGCTCTCAGTTGTCGGGGACTGGCTACGGTAGATATCACTTACATCTTCACCCATTCTTTGGACATGTTCACTAGTACCAAGATGTATTAGCTAGACCTCCAAACCATCAATTTCTCGGGAGAAGCCTCCCGATCGCAACCCTCCCATGCCCTGCCGTCCGCACTGCCGGGACGAGGTGGCGGATGCGCATCTCAAATCCATCAACAAAGATTTTTTTCCTTTTACATGGCCCCCAAAGATAGGGAACAGTGGACCCTTGCCAATGGTGCAATACGCAGAGTTCCATTGTTTCCCATCCCTTTTTTAAATGTCCGTCGGTCTGCCGCCGCCGCCACTGGTCCTTTGCCGCTTCCACTTCCCGATTTCTAATGCATCTTCCGACCTTTCGTTTCCTTTTGCTCGGCGTCAGATCAGGATAAGACCACGCTTGTTGGAGGGAAACACATATTTAATGTTTAATCGCTCCTTCTCTCACTTATAACATCGACTTGAGCCGCCGGGCAGATTTCCCGACTAGATCTTCGAAAGGATCGCCCTCGCAACGTCGCAACGAGCAAGGTTCATCCGCCAAGGAGGCTTGCATGAACCAACGATCCCCCTCTCGGGACAACATCACCACGAAACGACGAGCAAAAATCCCAGCTCAAAAAGTTTAGAACATGTCTTCGGCCCGAGACCCGGCCGCCGAGGCCGATGAGAAGCACGGCTCCGCGAACCCGGGCCTCCGTTTCAACCACCCCTCCGAGACGACTCTCACGCCCGCCTCGAACTCGGACAACGACCCCGAAACCCAGCCCTCCGCGGCGGCGGCACCCACGACATCCGACCCCGGCGCCGTCCCAGACGGCGGTCTCGAGGCCTGGCTCCAGGTCCTCGGGTCCTGGGTCGTCCTCGCCGCCACGTGGGGCCTCGTCAACACCTTCGGCGTGTACCAGACCTACTACGAGACGACGCTCGCCGCGACGCCCTCGGCCATCTCCTGGATCGGCTCGCTGCAGGGCGCGCTGCTGATGCTCGTCGGGCCCGTCTCCGGCCCGCTGTACGACGCGGGCTACTTCCGCGAGCTCCTCTGGGCGGGGCTCTTCCTCATCCTCCTCGGCCAGTTCATGACCTCGCTGTGCACGACCTACTGGCAGGTCCTGCTCGCGCAGGGCGTGTGCATCGGCCTCGGCTGCGGGCTGACCTTCCTCCCCTCGACGGCGATCCTCAGCCAGTACTTCCTCAAGCGGCGCTCCTTCGTCATCGGCATCGCGGCCACGGGCTCCCCGATCGCGGGCATGGTGTTCCCCATCATCTTCGGCCGGCTGCAGCCCGTCATCGGCTTCGGGTGGGCGACGCGCATCATGGGCTTCATCCTGCTCGGGCTGTCCGTCATCCCGGCGCTGTGGATGCACACGCGTCTGCCGCCGTCGGGGCACAAGCGGTCGCTCATTGACCGGACGGCGCTGCGCGACCCGGCCTTCATGCTGGTCATGGTCGGCTCCTTCTTCGCGTTCCTGTCCATGTACATTGCCTTCTTCTACATCCAGCTGTTCGCCGTCAGCCGCGGCATCGGCCCGGCGTCCTTCTCGTCGTACTTTGTGACGCTGCTGAGCGCGGGGAGCATCCCCGGGCGCGTGGTGCCCAACTACCTCGCGGACAAGATCAGCGCGGTGTACGTGCAGACGTCGCTCGCTGCGGGGGCGGCGATTATGATGTTTGCGTGGCTGGGGATCAACAATATGGCGGGCCTGATCGTGTTCGCCATTATCTACGGTTGTTTTTCCGGGGGTATGGTCAGCATCACGCCGAGCGTGATCGTGAGTCTGTCGCCGGACCTGGGCCGCGTGGGGACGCGCATGGGCATGATGAACTTCACGTCGGGCATCTCGATCCTCATCGGCACGCCTATTGCCGGCGCGATCCTGGGAGGATACAGCGAGGTGGAGTGGCAGGCCATGATCGGGTACGGAGCGGCGGCTCTGACGGCGGGATGTTTCTGCTTCACGCTGGCCAAGATCTTCCAGCTGAAGCAAGAGCGGTCTCTGAAGGCTTGAGTTAGTGGCCAGTAATGTATTGCAATCGTGTATATTAAGAGGGCTCTATTCCACGTTGATCGCGGCTATCAAGACGCACTTGTAGAGTCACCGCATCCACCACCAACCGCAAGCCACTGCCGCGACGCCGCCAAACACAACCGCCCATCGAGCCAGCCCGCGCATGATCTGCTCTTTCGCAAAAGCATCCATCGCGTCCCCGTCGTTGAT